GGACACAGAGGAAGCCAAGAGGAAATGATTATACGCTCTTTGTCAATATACAAGATTAAAGGAGACCCAGCAAATGCACAGGCAAGAGACTTAAAGCAAAAAGGGGAAAGTTTTTCAACAGAAACTTCTATCAGATTGGGTGGCTTGCTGATATAAGCATGTCCAGAGCTGAAGACACAGATGTATTTAAATAGGGATTACAGGAATGAATGAAGGGTATCAGTGGCTATTAGGCTTTCCTTTTCAGCTCCTACTTAGGAGGTGCCTGCCTGCTGAAAAGCTGCCAAAGGGCACTCTTTAAAATAAACCTTATTTCCACATATACTGCTTTCCAGACATCCTGGAGAATGGGATACAAAATTAAATGGACTTCCACTTTGATTCCATAAAGTCATTCTAATAGTTTAGACTTTTTTCATATTCAAATAGACACGAAAAACTGCAGACGAACAGTACCTCTGAGGTATGAAAACATACTCCTGCCTTTCTGTACCCTTCCTGGTAGTTAAATCAGAAACTTAGTTCTGAATTTTCATGTTTATTTCATAATTAGTCACCTGAGAAGAATCTGGGGGGAAAAAAGTGTTTTTCGTAGATCTCTAGGATTAGATCTATCCAGGAGGCATAATCTATATGCACTGGTCTATTCACATCAGCACTGTCTTTCACCCTCCTTTACATAAAATTGGGGCAGTATGTAGCAAGAGAAATCCTAAAGTGTGATAGCACAGGATATACACAGATTAAAAAATTTTTACATGTTCATAGATAATCACAAGATTAAAGTCTGAACAATTACTTGACACCCTGGAATAGAAAGGAATAATGACTTTGCACTGAAAGAGAAGTGGAAACACAAGTAGAAGCTCAAGAGATGCTTTAAACTCAAACAGCAGGTAAAAGTGTTTACCTTACAAAGTAGGAATTAAAAACTATATTAAGAATGCTCCAATTAAATATAAGAAACTAGAATTCTGTACGGCAAATCTAAAGTGAGTTTGGCATAACTCCAAGAATCCCTGAAAACAAACATATGATATATCAGCCGGAGTGGTAAAATCTAATATAAACAAAATCTGTACAGCTGCTACTTGTACAGCTAGTATCTCTACCCAAAGAAAAGAATGTTTCATACTTGATTTTAGCAATGGATAGTACTTCCATGGCCTTGTCTTGAACAGATGGATACCATTTCCTTTCTGTAAAGGCTGCAAAAACTAAGCACTATGAACACTCTAAAATACATATCGTACACAACAACAAAATTGTGCTTGCAAATGCTGTAATAAAACTCTTTGATTTACTCTTTTGCTTTATATTTAAATGGCACTTTTTTCAATTTAGAGAACCTGGAAGATTATTGACAACCATCTCCCTCTAGTAAAGTACAAAAAAACAAAACAAAGAAACAGCTTTTGCATACCACCAGTCCTTCATTTGAGCCTTATGAAGAGAAGATGGGTGAGGGTACCAGCCATCACATATAAAATTTCTTCATTGTCAAGTATCTGAATGCTATTAGAGAGCTCAGTAATGACATTTCACTGCTCACTTCCCCTTTAGCTTTGACCACAAGTTAAATCAGCTTTTCTCTTTTTCTTTCAYGTTTTTATATGTTATTGCCTTTGATTTTGGTATTTTAGGAAGTGAATCATCTGATGTTTCAGCTATGAAGACCCCACTCCTGCTATCATTGTTTGCAGTAGCCACATTAGGAGGGAGATTTAGAGCACCTTGGAAAGCACATAACCAAGATTCTGATATGTAAAATAACACTCAGTGCTCTTGATATTTCACTTGTGAAGTTGCTTATTTCTATTTCAGAAGATATTTCTAGTATATACTTGCATTTCCAGTAGAGTTTCAATGCCATATACTTGCAAGGGCTGTTATCATTGTCTTGGATTTCATTAAAKGACATCTGGAGAAGTTATTCACAAAGCACTTTCTGAACACAGACCTCTGCCACTACATTCAAGCGATGAACAGCTGGAAGAATTCCCAGGGTATCTCCAGGGTATCTTCCCGTGCTCAATATTTGTAAACACTTTCTCTAAATATAGAGTAGGCTCTGGTCAGCAGTTAACTTCCCTCTTATCAAGGTCCTATAAATATGTAAACAAAATACTGCTGCTCTTTGCTATGGCACCTCAGCTTGAAGGTAAGTGGAGCCCCTTTAAACAGAATCCCTTTCCTCAGTATTCCAGATCTTCTCTTCAGTTACTAGTATCTTCGAAGGTACAACTCTTCCACCTCTTACTTGTAGTCACAGGTTAGAGCCAAGCACAGGCCCTCTTTACTTTCTTATACTTCTACCCTTCAGACCTCACATAATATTAGAACACTTGACACTTCACTTTGTCATGCTACCTCCTAAAAATCCAGTCCTTTAGATTTGTTTTAAATACTCAGAACTTGCTTCCAGAAAAGAAACCAATGATTTGAGTAATCAGCATGAAAGACCTCTTATCTCAGGTGTCTCTCCTAGGAAGCCTATCAGTTGAAGTATTATTTTTGTAACCATTTTAGTAGCTATTCTGAAATGAGCTAAATTCTCCCATTTTATTGGAACTAGCACCCTCTCATTTCTTTATTATGAGCTGCATTAACTGAAGCAAAATATTTTCTTCCACGCCTACAAACAGTATTCATCAGAATTTGACAATCCTCCTGAAATCAGAATGTAATCTGTGCTATGCAGGGTAGTCACATTAATTTTCTATGTTATTAATCTACTTATTTCACATTCTCCTTTGCCAACTTAATCTTCCCTATAACACTTCAACTTCTATATTAACTCAGACACAAACAGAAGGAAATGCTCTGGTTTATACTAGTATGTATGAATAATATATTCCACTTAATCTTTTTCCATTCAAAAGTAATGARTGCCATGTATAGTTCATGACTTCATCTACAAAAACATATGAATTGTACAGTACTGGAACAGTATTTTCAAGATGTGATATTTATAAATCACCACCAAGGCTGCTTCCTATTTTGTTTTTCTCTCTTCTCCTCTTACAAGCTTTAACTAGCAGAACTGCATTAACATTTGGAAGCACTCCTATGCTTCAAATGCAATACAGCATCCAGAAGGCCTAATCCCATTTGTAACCCAAGCTTGTGCTGCTGTACTTGTCCCTGTCAAAATTAGAGGTGGATTAACTACTAGATCTGAATTTGTACCAGAAGTTGCTCTGGTAAGTTCAAGAGAGTTACAGCTAGGCAGAAGGGACAGAACACAGCAGAAGAATTATAAAAGAAATTACTTAACACTCAGACAGTATACACTTTGAATGACAGACACAGCTCTAAAAATAAACCTCAAGCCACAATATTAAGCAGGTGTGTMCAAAAAGTCAGTAAAGAGCTCCATGTTGGGTATTTTTCCAAAACAAAGGAGAAATAAGAGGCCAGAGGATAAAGTTACAACAAATTGCCTAAGAGTTTCTGTGGTTTACTTATAATAGACATCTGTCCAAAAAACCCTGAATCACTTCACCTAAAGGTAACTTAAAACACCAGCTTCCAGAGCACCCTACTCCTCTGCATTTTTTCTTTTGATATGCCTCTTTCATATATCTGGAGACCCCTGTGTCTGACCTCTTGTTAGACTAACCGTTTCTTACTTTATTACCTCAAAATCAGGACATCTTTGCAACTTCCTTGTTTTCCTCTTGCTTTGTCTTTTTTCTCTGGCACTCTTCCTATTTTCTACTTATTATCCCAATCTATTCTTCACATGACTGAGACTTTTGTCAAGAAATAAAGAGGTGTTCTGTGCACACTGTTTTCAGGTGTCTCRAACAATTTTCACACTCTGCATGCAAAAATAATGATATTTCCAAACCAAAAGAAACTGAATTGTTTACAAAAGTAACAAGTGAAGTTCAACTAGGAGCCTCCTTTCTCTTACTCAAACTCAATACAGTTTAAATCTATTTAAAAATGAGAATTCTCAAAATAWATCACTGTCAAAAAGGGTAAAACAATTTAAGATTTTGTATATTCAAGTAAATTAGCTTAGAACCTGTTAGAGATTTTTAAAAGCAGCATCAGTTTTGAGTTGCATGCTCCATACATCCAAGAGACCAGTGACCTCTGCTGGAACTGGGTGGATTGCCTGGCAATACTGCMAGCTCCAAGGTCCCTCTTCATCCTGGAGCTCTGAGGAGGTTTAATTGAACATGGGACTATTAACCCTTTGTCATTCRTTTATGATTTTTCTGGTTTATTTTGAAAAATCAGTACAAACATGGTTCAAATTTGAGATTCCATGGAAAACTTGAGTGGAATCTTTGACAAAGTTTGAATAAACCATTTAACAAAAGCAAATACAGAAGTTCAGGAAAATGGCATCCACAGAACCAGGCCGTACACACAGTTACATGCTGTTTTCTTCCTAAACAGCAATCATTCCTTCCTCCTTTTGACTCCTACTTATTCATTTAGCAGTTGTAAGAGCACAGTAAGTTCCCCACACTGCAGACCTTGGGTGACACCCTCATGGACACTAGAAGAAACATTAGAAAAGGTCACAAAGTGGAGCATTAAYAGTGAGGAGGGAGCACACAAACAAAACCTGATCACATTGTGCATGTTACCCCAGGCTCTGCCCCGGGCAGGTGTGAGAACTCCCCTTCATCCCCAGGGCTCTTTCTTGTGCACAGATGGGTCTCCACGAGCGCTCCACAGAAGAGATGGGTCTCCACGAGCGCTGCAAGCCCCAGAGCAGTAGACAGCAATCACAGACCTAAAGAACACTTACCAAATAAACAGCATCCACAAGAATGGCCTTTTCTCATTTAATGATCCAAAATACTTTAATGTCAACATTCAGGCAACACACRCAAGTATCTCATTTATACAAAGACTCTTCTGCTAATCAAAAAATGAATAGTATCATTTCTAAYGGACATTACATTTAGAGTAATATACAAAATCAGTATTTTTAAGAGCTACACAGCTCTTCAGCTTCAGTGTCAGCAGAAACTATAGCTGATGAACAAGAGCAAAAACACAAGTCAGAGAAACATACTGAATTTTAGTTACCAACTTTACATCATTATTACTAGGAAACCATAAACAAAAAATCTACATAATTATGGCCAGTTTTCTAAGTATGAGCCAACTAGAATATATGTGCTACAGTTTTCAGAGAAATCTAATATTCCTTCTGCCTGTAGACAGTTTTGACTTGCCAATGTAAAGACCAGTAAACAGATGCAAAGCAGCCTGGTCAGAACTAYTTCCTTGAAAAAAAAATGTAAAAGAAAACTCCAAATTCTACTCCAAAAAGATGTGATGAGGAATGGTGAGAAAAAAAATATACCTTCCCAGARGCCCAGAGAAATGGCAGCCCTTGGCACAGATCATCTCTGTGTCTGTGTGAGAGATCAGATCCAGTTCTCCAAGTTTAATCGTAAATGTTTTGTCCACTATACAAATTCTGACATCTATAACAAATTAAGCAAATATTTTTACAGACATTGTTAACCATGTAGCTGATTCAGTTTCATCATTTATGCTGAACGAAGCAACTGTTCTCTGGGAGGGCACAAAACTGGGTGACTCATGAAGGACTGCACCAAAATAGATATTAGAAGAGATATGAGCAAAATAAGGTTTCTTAGGCAACTGCTATTTTAAAGATTCCTAATATCTGCACATTAGGCTGTGCAATCTTATTCAACTAAGTTTCTGCCACTTTTACCCTTTTGTGCCTGCAACACCAACTCCCTCTTGGGAGAAACATCTCACTGAAATTGCACACAGTAGCTGTCAKTTGACTATCCTGCATGCCAGTAACTAAGGGAATAAGACTTGAATTCACATCATTATTTCCCTGTATGCCTGAGATTTCTGTGAAAGTAAACAGTCCTGAAGATGCCCTAGGGATGTTCCAGTAGCAGGGAGTTGCACTGGGATCACTGGAAAGGGAGGTGCAGAGTACACTGGTCCCCCAGGATACATGCAATTAGAATTTACCAAAGAGTAGAATTTCAGTGTTCTGCACGCACACAGGGAACAGAAACAAAGCATGTGCACATATACAGCTWCAAATCTAGATGTAGTGCTCTAATAGAAAAATCACTTCTTAGCCCAGTGGTTTTATCTTTTAATAACCAGGGTATTTTTAACTCAAGCAGCATTCCAAGATACACAGAAAAGCAGGTATTTTATATCAGCTTGTTATCTATGCAAATTATCTATGCTATCAAGGTATCTGCTATGTTAGCAAGTTATCTATGCAAATATTTCAAATTATTTTAGTTTACTCTTTACCAATGGTCTTGCTGAAATACTGAATTACCCAATTGTTATTCAAACAGCATATTCACAGAAAGCTTCTTACACCCACAAAAGTCCTCTAGCCCAATCCCCAAGCTCTATACATTCCCGCACAGTTACAATCAAAAGGCTTCAGAAAAGCATGCAGAAGCTTCAGTAGCTCAGTCATCTGACTCAGTCAAACGTCCTTTGCACTAAACAGTATATAAAGCAGATTTTTCATCTAAATCAGCAAAATATTACTAGACTATTCAAAGAACCACCAGTTTACAATTTCAAATGGCTGTGTAATTTTAAAACTACATGTTCCCATTTTTGAAACAGATAATACCGTATATAAGATCATCTATGTAACAGTAAAAAGCAGTCACTGTCCACAGGAACCATGTCTAGTCACGTTTCTCAGTCAGTCAGTCAGCTAGCTGAGGGTCATGTCATTATTTAGTTTCTGTAGAAAGAACACAAGCACAAAAATAGTATCAAAAAACAATACATCTATTTTTATTTTACCACATTAGAAAAGATAATTCTTACAATTCTTACAACATTTATAAATGAAAAGTCTTCTAAAGTATATAAAATAGTATTTAACATTATATATATGTTTCTCTCTTTTTAATGGGTACCTCTTTCTGAGCAGTGTATGAAAGCCAGCATTTTTTTTCTGCTATATGCTGTTAATAGAAAATACAGTTAACTTATCTTGGAGATTATTTCAAAGACATAATTACTTTTTAAATTATAAATACACACACTACAGGTTAGTTCTTTAACCAATTTTTAGGTAAAAAAAGAGAATGCAAACAGAAGCAATGATGCACAAGGATAATAAGGAAAACAGTGACCAAGTACTTCAGGACAGAACATGTTTTTTCCAACTTTAAATAAAGAATTGTTTTCAAAAGGTGCATGTTTAAGCAGCAAAAAAGTTATCAGTTAGAGGAAAAAACTACAGTTAAACTATCTGTTACAGGCTACAGCCTATGAACAACAATTATGACCAGACTGGACTCAGAGCCTGACAGTTCTGGATGGCTGTTAGGCATCTGGAATATAATGTTAGCCAGAAGCTGAGCTATTAGAGGACTGCTTGAAAATTTCTTTGCTTGATGTTTGCTTTTAATAAAGCTAATAGGTTGCAATAAGGAGATTTAAATTCTACACCATATTCTTCTGGCAAACACTAAATCCATTCCTTCCTCTCAGTTTTAAGAAAATATACTACAGCTATTATACAGTTTCAGTGAAATTTGAAATAGCCTGCAAAGCAATGCAAAAACCTGGGTAGACAGTACAAGCAAAATGCAATTAAGAACATGAGGCAGCTATAAAAAGCTTCAAAATAYACATCTTAGCTGTCTTTAAGTCTGAACTTAACCGTAAGCAAAATGGTTTACAAAGAGCTTATAAAGTAAATAGTTGAGAGAACATTACTGAACTGTATTTCCATCATTTCTTTGCTACTCTAAATACTTACATAATTAACTCTTCATTGGCCTTTAGAAGAGCCACAAAAATTGACTACTGTAGCACACTACTGCACAATTATTCAAAATTTCCTGATAACCAAAAGTTGTTCTGAACACAGAAGCTGATTTGCATAACAAATTATAATCATACAGTATCCTTTAATTTTGTAAGTTACACTGGATTTATAGAAGAACACTTTGAGAAAATGTTTCTAAAACAATCAGTGGTTTGAAAGAATAATTTAACTGAAATCACTCAATCAATTCAATTTAAATCAAGCATTTCTATGCAAAAACAATCTATCAAATTTTCAGATTATAGTCTTATAAAAACTCACAGAAATGCAGTCAACTTTTAGAGATGAGACAAGCAATACAATGGGACTTTAGACGAGAATTACTATTTTTAAGAGATTGACTTCAAGTGAAAATTCAGAGAAGTTTTAGCTAAGGAGACTATTTGTGCCACTTAGTTTGAAGATGTGAAAACTTTTTTTTGCTTCTCAAATTCTATTTCAGATGTACGGAATTCCACTCATTCTGACATGAGCAATTTAAAGCTTTAGTTTGAAGGAAAATAAGCTCTTCTCATACTCTGAAAGCTATTATAAAAAAGAGCACACATGCAGGTGAAAATGTTTTGGTTCGTGTAACTTGCAGGTCAAAAAAAAGTACATAAAGGTGTAGAAGAGTTCTACACTAAAAAAGATACAAGAAGCAAAACAAGATTAGAAGTAAAATACTGATACAGAGTCACTATTTCATGTGGTGGTTTCTAATTAAAGAAAACAAGACTGCATTTTCCCTATGATGTGGTTACTAATATTACTTGGAAGACATGATATTTGAAAATTCTTTTGTATATACATATTAAAAAGTATTTAATCTTTAACCACTAAAATTTCTTTTGGTAATGGTTCTAATGTAAAAAATTAATAGAAGATAAATTTGTTATCATTCTAATAAAACCCATGTCCTGAAAACAGTCAGATTTTGACTTGAACATCTCCCTGTGTGATCTGCCTCATAACTTAAAGGCAACAAAGTGACATTGTCAACAGGCCAGCTACCAGAGGCCAAAAAAGATTACCTAGCCCACAAAGTATGACTTTTCATATTCAGAAATACTACAAAGTATCTAAACCAAACACTAACCTCACCACAAACTCTGCAATATTCTCTCTACCATCATACATCCCAACTACACATGCTTTCTGAAAGCCCAGACAACCAGAATCTTTCAGTTCTCACCTGATAACCTTCCCTGTGCTTTCCACAGCTATTTTACCCTTTCTTTCTCCATCCTTTGCAGGGATAACCTCTTATCCAACACCATTAAGAGGGTATATGTGTTTTCAATGAAAGACAGACACAAACAAGCTGAACTGTCATATTGTTTATTTTTCCCATACTCTTTTCAATGTTATGGGATTTGCTTATGTACATAAAGCAAATACTATGAACATGCAAATTGATACCAATCAACTTGCTATTTCCTCGAACATTACAAAAATAAAGATTTTACTAAAAACAGTGTGCATGTCATAAACATATAGTATGTGCAAATATTACAAAATAGATTTGTTTCTAGCCAGCAACTTTACAATTCAAATTTATTGTAACATTTTTCATGTTTAATTTGAAACTCATTTSAAACTCATTATTTCAAGTATTCATATTTAAAGTAACAACTCAGACTGGGTACTTACCCACTTAGTAAGTTCTCTGACGTTTGTTAGGTTCTTCTGTAGGAGAGTCTGCTAACCTTACTTTAAGCCTGACACCATTTACAATCTTTCCATGTAATGCAGTTATGGCATCACTGGCACTTCCTCTGTCTGCAAATTTTGCATATGCCACATTTTTTCCAGCCACAAGGTAAACTTTTATCAGGTGTCCAAAGCGACTGAAAACAAAATAGGAATTAATAGCAATACATTACTTGCAATTTTGCTGCAGCACCAAGACTTGCCACCCCATACCATGTACAAGTACACAAGATCTTCTGCTTTAGCCACCTGGACCCAGGATATTTTCCTTATGTCCTTCTCTTAGTCCAAGCACAGACAGATAGAAACCCACCGGTTCGTAGGCCATATCTTCTGTGGTGTACTACAATCAGAACCATGCATACTACCACTCATTTCYCTTATTTAAAACATACAGCTAATACTTGCCTCCCATTAACATGAATTTTAACAGCTGTGATCTATGAAAAGGTCCTACTGAAATGACTCAAAGTGTTTAGTATTACAGAAAAATCAAATTTCAAACCATTCAGAGGCTTCCTAGGCAGCTCCTTAAAGTCTGTATATCACATACCTTAAGGAGCTTATTGAAGTGCAAAAACTAGGATTTACAGCTAGAATAAAAATATCTAGTGCATCAAATAGTTGTTTGGCATGATTTTATATTGCACTTAAGTCCATGCTTTTTTTGCCCCCCCTTCTTCCTTGTTTTTGGAAAATATTCTGGCTTTCTAAAGAATTTCTGCATTGCCAGCAATTAAAGATGGGAAATGCTGACTTTTAATTCAAGAATATACTAAAAATAAATACAAAACACCAGTAAACAGATGAAATAAACATTTGTTTTTAAAGACAGTAAGGATCTTTGCTACTAGCATGCAGGTCATGGGAAATCACTGTTGAAATAATGTCAGAAGACACAAAACACCGAAGTGTCTCAGGATTTAAAAGACTCCCTAAGTCTACTCCCTGAGGTTACTGTGGAATTTTCAAAATATTTAAAATCTTAAAACATGTGGTAGGAAAATGCCAAATTAGTTACCCTGAGATGAGGAACTACAGTGTTTTTGGTTACAAAAGAGAGACTAGTTATTTTTGCCAGATCATCATCAGTATAGCAAGTTTTAGTTATTAGCGCTGCAACTACTTTTCTTCAACAATTAAATGACTGTTTCAAAGTTAACTGTTATCTTTTTTTTTTGCTGAACTTTAATCAACTCCATAAATGTTGAAGATCAGGAAGACTGATAGAAATTGACCTTACTTTTCTGGAAAAAAAAACAATCTTGTAACAATCTTACCAGAATACATCCTCCAATACACTTATGGGTAAAGGATGGGGATTAAATAGTATGAAAAGCCTTTCTTTCACAGAAGTATCAGGAGGAACCTTTTTTTTGTGTGGTGGAAGTATGGCATCTGTTTGGGGATGAATTAACTGTGAGCTAGATGTTCCCCCAAAGGCCTGCTGAAAGACAAAAAATGAAATATAAATTGGTCAGAAAGTTTGATTTTTTAACCTTTCGATCCAACTGTAAGACACTAGCAAGATGCAACAGTTCTAAGCCTAACTCATTACTTATTCCATTAACTTGGAAAATAAATTCCAATGTCACACATCTTTAAAGAGAACTAACAAACAACTAACCTGAAATACTTGATTTAAATAGTATCTAAAGCAAATAAAAATATTAATAGTATCCATTAACTTACAGGAGGTGTCCTACACTGCTGAGAAGCAAAATTATTATTCCACAACAATGATGACATGTGTGCTGTTACCAGCTCTGTTGCCATTCTTCTAATGAGGCTGCAAGCAGAAGTGATAATAAGAAAGCTAAGTTACTATAATCCTAAATTCAACAAAATAAAATACCCTTTACACATCTAAAAAGATTTTTAAAAATCTGTAAGCTTAAATAGATCATGGAGAAGAAAAAAGCCAGGTGTACATGCCCTGCAAATATACCTGGCAGCTAAAAGTCACCAAAATAAAACATTCACATCTCTACACAAAGCTATTTTCCCCAGACTACCAAGAAAAGCCAAGTAAGTCTACAATATCCTACTTTTTCCATATATTTTGTGAAAGGTATATAAGACAGAGAAACTTTATAAAAAGTCCCAATAAAGAATAAAGGGGACTTGACCTCTCTACCTAGAAAGGTCATCTAAAGTGCACATTTCTGATTAAAATCAAGTTTATTACAGAAAGTTTTTTAAATAAAAGTCTATTTTCTGCAGTGTTTATTGAAACACTCACCATGCTAAGACTGTTGTAACATTATCGTAGACACTAAAGTCCATTTCCAAATCATTTTGAGTATTTTCTTATTCCCCAACAGAATGAAGGCAATTGCACTTTTGCATTGTAAGGCAATGCAACAACAGAAAATACTGAGGAGTGAAAGAAAGGTTGCCAAAACCACCGGTTGCAAATAATTATTGCTTTAGTTCAGATCATGTACACACTTCTGAAGTAAATCTCCACATATTCCTTCCTTACTGTGCTTTGGTTCAAATCCCATAAAAGCCAAAAGGTTCACTAAAGGATGCATCCTGAGAATATATTTTATTTTCCTTTCTCTTATCCAAATAGTGGAAGTTTCAAAAGGCTTATTCCAAATTATATAGAGGCATCATATTTCAAAAAATATTATTACAGGGGTGAAACAGCACTGTAGTGACATTGCTGTTCCTTTTTTACATATGTATTTATATTTTTCCCTCCTTTATAGCTGGTATTTTTTAAATTTGTTCTCCAAACACACAACTTGCAACTTTCTGTGTGGATTGGTACTTACTCTGAGCTATCGCACCCATCTTCTAAGAAAGTGACAATTAGTCTATTTCCAGGAGGGTACTCAAAACCATGTAATTTATGTTTGGCATATATAGCTGATGCAGCACTACTATACTGAATCACAGCATACCCTAGAAGTAAARCATATATATTTAGTGTGATAAATGTATATTCTAAGAACATACTACACTTTTAGAAAGCAGTAAGATCAAGCCTCAGATTCGTCATGGATGTTACAACATTTCAAGGGCTTTTTACCAAACAGTACATTTAACAGCAACATCCTTTGCATTTGTGATGAAAAATACTAGAACTGATGACAGTAGCTATATTTATATCAGCTTGAGAAGTTGGTACTATCTCCTTTTCACTAGAAACCTCTACATTGCAACAGAGGTTAACATGTCTTATCCAACCCCATACTACATAAAAAATACTTTAGATTCACTGTTAATGGAATAATTTAAAAATGCAACTTCACAGATGCCTTTTTCTCTGAATCATTTCCATTTCAAGCTTGTTAAAGCACCGAGCTGTTTTACATTTTTCCARTAGTAACAAAACAAAGTCTGAAACCAAAACAATCCATACATAGAGAGCCACTTATTTCAAATGAAAACACAAAAGATTCATTTAGAAAACATGAAAACTTTATGTCTAGTCATATTCAAAACACTCCTTTTAATCAGCCTAAAGCTTATTTGACCATAAAAAATACTTCTGCTGGTTTTGATTTTGTCAGTGAAATTCTATGCTCTGTATGGAAAAAGAAGKTAAGTATTGAAGGCTAAAGAGGGGTACAAACAAAACTGAATTTTTATGCTTAAACAGTCATAGCAGTAACTGCTAATACATAAAACATGATTTCCTACAAGTATACTGTATTTTACAGTTCTAAAGAACAAATTAAAAATACTTCTAAAAAAGAAAAATTGGTTCTGTACTTTTACTTACCATTATTTGTATGTGGATCTCTCTGAATATCACAGTACTCCAGTCCTGGGATGAGATCAAACAGGGCAGACAGTTGCTCTTGGACAAAAGGAAGCCGTGATACCACTGACAGACGCTTGGAGACCGACTCCTGAATTCTGCTCTCATTTTTTTCAAAGCAACAAAACTCTGGTTGCCCACCTCAAGGATAGAAGTAACATTAGTCATCACACTAGTAGGTCTCCATTTCATTTGTCTCTTAATTCCTTTTTTTTTTTTAAAAACAACCCAAGGCAAATTTATACTACAGGTAACATGTTTATTTCATCAAGGCAGGTGATTAAACTGTAAGCCAGCTAGTGCAGATCAAGTCAAAAACACKTAAGTTGCACACTTGACTAATCTTTAACTCCAACATCCAATCTATTACTGAGGGTTTGATCACAGCCTCTTTCAGCTGTCTAGCTTCACCCAATTGCRTTCTTACTTTGTGACCATATTCAAAACCACAAATCATTTTTAGGATAAAAAGACAGAACTTACTAAATGGAAACATATTTCCTCTTGGTTCTTGCCTTGTATGATTACTGTTACTATAATATTCATGTTCAAAGGACTCTGATGACTTATTTTTAGGTTCAGCCAAAATGGCCCGGAAGCCTGAAAGAAACAGCCACACATAGAGCATCACTTTAGCACTCCRTAAGTCCAGATGACTAGATCTGTGTGCTTTGATTACAATATTTAGAAACATGCTATTCAGAAAACAGAGTAAAAGCTGCTTTTAAGAAAATAACTAAGCTATAACTCTTGAAGCCTCACATAAGTGCTGTAAAAAAAAAATCTTCTGTACAGGACTATTTCTAATCACAATTGAAATAAAACAGAGCCTACTCTGCAGTATTCAGAGATCATCTTAAGGCAATCTGCTGAACTTCCATGGCAACTCAGTAATGCATGCCTACTGTGTTTTGCACTGAACTAGGATTTGCTTTTATGAACAAATGAGATTTTACTCTTAGGGTAACCCACTCATTCTCAAACCTAAAAAGGAATAATTTGTAACTGTTTAGTTCATACACACATCCTTAMCCAGGGAGGGTCAACAAACAGAACAGACTGTACAGAAACATTTAAGATACAGCAGGCATACTACTATAACAAAAAAGTTTAATATTTATGATTAAATGAACATTAATCATTGATGTCTGACCTGGCCAAAGCAGGATCAACAAAACTGCTTGGGTTTGTCTGCTTGTTCTCCATTCATGTCTGACAAACCTCCAAGGTCAGAACTTCTAAAACCTCCCCAACAGTGTCCTTCAGTTCTTAGTTATCCTCAGGAATTCCCCATCTCTTATATTCAGTCAGAACTTCACCTGCTCAGCATAGACCATTGCCTCCTATTTTCCCTGCCATGCACCTCAGCAAAGAACCTGACTCCATTTTCTAGATAACTTTAGGCAGCTGAAAGCTGCTGCAACATGCCAAGTCTCTCACCTTCTCCTCACAGGCCATACTTGTCAGCCCTTAAACCATGTTAAATGGCCATCCACTGAACCCTCTCAATTTCACTAACACCTTTCTGGGTCTAGGGTATAAGCAACAAATCACTAATTCTGGATGTAATCGAACAAATTTCAGTTAGCATTAATTTGATTTTAAGTTAGTGTAATCACAACAGTAACTATGAGTTATCAAATACTTTAGATTTAAAGGGCATATATTTGTACATGCATACAAATGCACATATTTGCTTAAATATGATTACTCCTTAGTTCTTTTTAAACAAGTTTTCCCTGAGTATGGAGTCTACATTAGAGACTGACAGTATCACATGAAAACAAAATCTCTGCATTCGTTTCCAAAGCTTTTTCATATTCCTATTTGGAAGGTCTGGTCCTGCAAGAATKTAACTAGGTGAATAACAATTCTACTCTTCATTTGCAGCACTARTGTAACTTTTGGCTCAAAAAGGGCTTACATAATTTATCTACAAAGCAAGCTGAAGATAAAAAGGTACACTAACAAGCTTACACCATCTACTCTTACTGAGAGAGAGAAAAAAGGAAGAATTCAGTTTGATCCTTACTTCGATCACACTCCTCAATTGCTCGGGCAGCATGGGATGGTTTTAAGTATCTCACATAGCCCAAACCTTTACTTTCTCCAGTGGTCCTGTTCTTAATAATGCTGCAATATTCAATGTCTCCATACATCTAGAATGATTAAAATGCATATTAATTTAAAATAAAAACACATTCAAGTTTATGTTTTAAGCTCTTCTGATAAACAAAATTCAGTTTAAGATAACATTCAAGAAATACTGAATTAGCACCTTAAATTTCTCCCGGAGATCTTCCTCTGTATAGGTTTTTGGTATCATAACAAAGATTCTTGTAAGCTCTTCATCTTCAACATCTCGGTGGCTTCCAGAAGCTCTTGATTGTGCAATAAACACCTTTAAAAATAAGTACACAGACAAATACACATATACACAGACATTAGTTACTAAAGGAAGCCTAGCTACCTATCAAACAAGAAAGATTTGTTTAATAAACTTTCTCTTTCACATAATCTAGATTTCCTGATTTGAGAAAGAGGTTCTGGACAACATAAGCACCAATAACAAATAAATTAGATTAGCTTTTGTTAAGTATGGTGCATTCCAGCATTTTTTCAAAAGGACAAGAAGTCTGCAGAAGTTTTCTTGAACTGTTTAACAGTCAGAAATAGATCAGACCTAATTCAGTATCACTCACCAATGTCATGGCAAGCAAAGTAGCAACAAATACAGCAACATAACATAATATAGCAATATTTATAAAACTGGCCAGTCAATCAAGCAGTTTAATAAGGCCCGGCCTGAGTTCACAGCTCACTTTGCCAATGCAGTGCTCAGTGAAAGCCCGCAACTTCCCCAAACTGCTTGATTTTTGATAAAAAAAGCCTCAGTTCAATCCAGAAGTCAAASCAGGCCTGCAACTTCCCCAAACTGCTTTCTTTTGATTGAAGAAAATTCAGCAGTTCAATCCAGAAGACAAAAACAAACAAAAGAAAATAAAAAACAAGTTTGATGTGAGCACCTTATACAAAGGGAGCAACTGCCTTCACAGAGCTGTTGAATAATTCACCTAATGCTCACACAGGTGAGTTAAGGAACACCAGCTTATCTACTCTCCTGGCTCCTATGAGCAAAACCTATGAGCAAATATTTCACAGTCTCAGCTATTGTTTTCAAATTAGAGCAGTCTTCTACTGTTTAAAGCCATTCCTAGCATCTTACTATYTGGGCAATGTGAAGACATTTCAAGAAGTTAAAAATTGCCATCAGGCTCTGCAGAGTAAAGTAAAACTTAAAAAACTAAAAACGGTCTACAAAATTAAACAAAAATCTCCCTCTTACAAAGACTGTTCCAGATCCCTTAAGTTGGGGATTAAGATCCTAGGCTTGGCCAATACACACATTACACACATTCTCTTGAGGTTACAAAACAAGGCAGAAGTTTTGAGCACTGCAAGCTCTCCAAGGCCGCAGCTCCGATAACGCGCGGGCGCTTCAGCTCGGCGCGGAGCTACCCCGAGCCACGAAAGGTCACTCGGAGGAGCGCAAAGGCCGCGGCATGGGCCCAGATAGGGAACGGGGGAGCGAAGCGCAGCGCACCAAGGGCGACCGCGCGGCCGGGCAGGCGCGGGCCGCCACCATGGCGGGCGGGGAGGGGGCAGCGGGTACCTTGATGGGCTTGGTGTCGGGCGCCAGGCTGCGGCCGTGCATGGCCTCCATGGCGCGGCAGGCCTGCGAGCTGCGCGCGAACTTGATGAAGGCGATGCCGCGGGACTCGTTGGTGCGCCTGTCGCGCAGGAGCCAGATGTTCTGGATGTCGCCAAAGGGGGAGAAGCTCTCGCGCAGCAGCGCCTCGCCCGTGTCCTTGCCCAGCACCACGAACACGCGGCTGTTGGGCGGCTCGTCCAGGCACTCGGCCGAGTAGCGGAACCCGCCGCTGCCGCCTCCACTAGCGCTGCCGCCTCCACTAGCGCTGCCGCCTCCACTAGCGCCGCTCTCCTCCATGGCCGAGGCGCCGCCTCCGGGCTCCCGCGCGGCCGGCGACCGCTGGCTTTTCTCGGACGAGGGCGGCGGGGAGCGCTCGCCGTGCTCCTTCCGCGCGGGCGACAACATGGCCGCCCCCTGCCCCGCGACGACGTGGGAGGAGCAACGGGCGGAAGCAGCGCTGGCCCTCATGGGATAATGGCGGCTTTTAACGGCTGCCGCGAATCGGACCCGCCCCCGCGGGGGCGGGAGCGCCGCCATATARCGGGGCAGCCGCGCACAGCCCGCCCGTCCAGGGCACTGCTGCTGCCGCCGGGTGTTGAGCGGTCACGCGGGCGGCTCGTGAGCTCTGGGCCTGCGGAGCAAGATGGGTGTTTTGTGAAAAACACCTAGAACCAACTTTTATTTTAAAGTAGCTTAACTTTTAGTCTATTTTTWAAAAAGTGGGCATTGAATAGTGCTGAACAACAAGGTATTTTGTTGGTAAGGTATAAGTGTTATAAAAAGATGTAATATGCAATTTCAAATTTCGGCATGGGGAGGGAGGCTGTGGTGGGAGAGCAGCGCTGCTGGGGCCTTCGCGCTGCGTGTTCCCACCCCCCGTGGAAACGACCGTTGAGACCGTTAAGAGCGCCCAGCCTTCTCGCTACTTGCTACTCCCGCCAGAAAGCGAGCGTGCCTTAGTCCCGCCCCATGGACTTCCGGCGGCCAATGAGAAGRCAGCGTGCAGAGATACCCTGCCTGTGATTGGGCGCCACGCTGACGACACCTGTGCCGGCTGCCGTCGAGGGCGAGGAGGCCGCTCGGGAGCTGTTCGGGTGCGGGGGGTTTGGGCATCCCGGGGCCCTCCCGGCCTGGCTGGGAGCAGCTGGTGTGCCAGGGCCATCGGACTTATTTCCATGAGGTCAGGACTAGGTTATTATAAAGAATTCCTTGAGGTTGTATTTCTGGATAGGGCGAAGCCTTGTGAGTCCRTCTACACTGTGGTGGTAACTTTCATGGAAGGAAGATTCTGGATATTGACTAGGACACAGCTCTTGAGCACTGTGTCCCCCAGGGAAATCCTGAGATGCTTCTCTATTTCGAGATAGGTCTCCTGGAAAAACAAAAAAAGGGGGGGGATGTTTTCTCTTACCATTAGAGTAGCTCTAAGAAAGCAATAAAGTGACTTTAGGCTACTTAAGAGGTTTCTGAATCTATCATGCAAATTCTGCATCTCTTAGAGATGGAGCAAAAAAGAAAACCCTTATGGTGCTTTTTRCCTCTTCTATCTTTTGATAAATTTGTAAAGAATTCCCTCAAGACCATGAATAAGCAGATGAATTGAAAATCTTTTAAGAGGTTGTGTAAGAGGTCCAACAGAGACCTATCCAAATTTAGTTTATAATTAAGCCCCAAATTTCTGTGTGTTATTGCTGTGTAAGACAAATATTTTCTAAAACTGTTGGAGATGGGACCAACAACACTGATCTTGTCTGTATCATTGTGTAAATTTGCCTTTTTTTTTTTTGTCATAGGTCAAAATGGGTGATGTTGAAAAAGGAAAGAAGATCTTCGTGCAGAAATGCTCTCAGTGTCACACAGTTGAAAAAGGTGGAAAGCACAAGACAGGCCCAAATCTTTGGGGTTTATTTGGCCGCAAAACAGGACAAGCTGCAGGATTTTCTTATTCAGATTCTAACAAGAACAAAGGTAAAACTCACAGATGGCATGGATGGGGTAGAGGGCTGGGAGGGAAGATATGGAATTCTCAAAAGCCTTTTTCTTTAGAGGTACAACAAGAAAACATTCATTTTCAATAGGAAAASATTCAGACTCTTGCAATCGTCTACATCTCAGCATTGCAAAAACTGAGTTAAAGTTTCAGAAGCAAAATTACTCAATCCCTAAATTAAAAAGAGGCTTTAGCAATACCCAGCATGTCAGGTCAGAATGTACATCTTTTACAGAATTGTGTAGTATCAAAGCACAGATTTCCATTTCTGTTTGAGTGCTACTAGATTTTGTTTGCTGCTCACTACCCTCTAGTGGCATTGTGCTGTGCTGCAGTTTCACTTGACAAAACTCTGTCATTCACTAAAGCTTAGGACTTGTTTGAGTAACTTAAAGATGATGTATGAATTATGTATCGCTTGGATACAGAAATWTGAGTTAAATATTAAAATTGTTATGTACAATAGACTCTCATTTTTCTCTTGTATTCTAGACACATTATGTGCAAGAGAACCACACTTTAGATTTGAGACTCTTGTTATCTTAATATTTATGAGGCAAGTCTTGCATTTTATTGTGTTTGTTTTTCAGGTGTTACCTGGAATGAAAGTACATTAATGGAATACCTGGAAAACCCCAAGAAATTCATTCCTGGAACAAAAATGATATTTGCTGGCATTAAAAAGCAGAGTGAGAGGGCTGATCTTGTTGCATACTTGAAAAAAGCAACCACCTCCTGAAACATTGCAGCAGCTGTAGTATCAGTGAAAAATGTTTTGAAGTTTGACTATCTCAGGTTTTAGTATTTTGATGTTGATTGTTAATTAGGTACTGGCCTTAGCAAAATAAAAGCGTGTTTTAAGATGCTAAGTCTTCCTAACAGAACTTTATATATGGTGTTAKATATACCTCAAAGAATTTTGTGGAATGTACCATAGAAACTAGTGTTTCTTTCTCTAAAGAGAACCCAGAGCTTGATTCTGCCACTAGCTACCAGAGCACTAGTTGGAACTATAGCAGTTGTGGCTATATGTGTTGCTATGCAAATAGGAAACTGCCTGTAATTATCATGGTTGACATGAAATGAAGGGAGAGGAACCCTCAGCATGTCAGATGGGAAGCTACTATTCAGTAGATGCCAAACAACAGTCTTCTTTTGAAAGAACACTGCAGAAGGGTGATGGAACTGGGTTATCAATAAYATCAGATATTTTTAGAGGACAAGTAAACTTTCAGTAACCATAGTCTGAAAGAATCATGAGGAGATAATTTGAGTATCTTAGACCTTTGTGTTTTAAATGTACAAGCCCACTCGCAGTACTACTAGTGTTTTGTATTAAAACAGCATCTGCCAGCCAGGAGCCTTGYACAGTTGTGGAGTTTTTTCCACCAGATGAGGTAAATTTATTCAGCTATCCTCTTGTGTAGAATGAATGGTATTAGTGATAGATGTTTTCCACCAAAGATTGATGAAAGTTATTACGGACCTCCTAAAAGCTACCCGTGAATSTCTTCTCTACCATTTGAAGTGTGATTTACAAGTAAATTCTGTTTCACAAACGTTACAGGTTAAAATATACTCCACTCAACCAAGGTTCCTTTATGCCACTGCAGAGAGGAGCGCTGCTACAAAACTAATTTGCRGTGGGATCATTTCCCAGATTCTCATTGTTGCCTGCATTGTTCCAGCCTTCACTCACTAGGGGTTTTAACAAATTGTCTTACAGCGCTCCAAAGAGGTGCGGTTCYATTTTTAAGCAAGTGAAAGGTAAAAGTTCTGTGGTACAGCTGGATGATTATTTGCTTTCTCTTCTGTGCTGCGGCTATAAGCTACTCTGTTTCAGTTTTCTAGTGGGTCACATAAAGGTGCCTCGAAGACGAGCGGCCTGTACCCCTGTGTGGGAGACCTGTAGGGTTACGAAGGTGACAGAAGCGAGGGGTTGCAGCTGATGGATGCGGAGCCCACGCGTGGAGCTGCAGCGCGGGTCCGGCGTGAAGGAGCCGCGCGCGTTTTGGSCGCAGCGACACGGGTGAGGTTGCTGGCTCCGGAGCTCGCACAGAGCCACCCCACGTGCGCCGGCTGCCCGCGGCCACCGCGGCGGCGGC